TCCACCACAATTGTAACATTTGAACGATGATGACGCTGGTCGGAAAGTTGTACAACGTGGTTGAGAATGGTTTTGATAATTATTTGAAGAATAATTGCTATTATAACGTTGTGGTTGTGACTATTGGGGACGACTACCTCCATAATAAGTTGGTTCACTTCTTCGATAATCTTGTGTGTCCCATTTTGGCTGCTGTGGATGAGAATTACCAGAATTTGGTGAATTCGAAGTCCGTCTTATTGCTGCTGTTGTATCGTCTGTTTCTACCGTTGTTGTGGTCGTAATTGTTGATAGTTGAGCCAATGATGTTGCTGCTTCTGCTCGTTTTGCTTGTTCAAGTAAATTGTCACCTTGGGTAAAACATCAGAACAGCTTGTAATAATGATGATTTTAATTCCCGTAATAAGTATAACACTTTTTCTTTTTCAGTCATCTCTGGATTGAATCTTGTACATAATGATAAAACATCATAATAATATGATGGAACTGATTCATTGGTAACCAGGTAATCGGATCTTGTTCATCTTTACCACTAAATAATTCTGGTGGTTGAATTCCTTTCAACAACATTAGACTTGGTAAACTTGTGCACATCTTCGAATCTTCGCGTGTTCGCCTATTATCTTGTAATTTTTGTTGATATTGAGCGATGTTCGCTTGCGCTGCTTGCTCTGTTGTATTTCTTGGCTGCACCAAGATTGATGATTGTCACCTACCTTTTTTGAAATGAATTCTCTTATTGTGATGTTGTCTTGAAAATAACTTGGCTAGTGCACCAATGTTAGGTTGATTAAGTTGCTCGCATAACTAAACTTTATTTGTATTCAATATGAACTGACTACTACATATCACACACACTCACTTTTAGAAAAAACACGGTTTTCTAGAAATCCTATTTCTGAAGGTCCTAGAAAAAACGTCCAAGAGACAAAAAGAAAGAGCATCGTTTCAAACCCTTAAGTTCCAAGAGAAAAGTTCGTAGCTTGTAAACTGACGGAGATGGCCAACATTGTAATGTTACACGCCTATTATTCGTTTTTTATCGCTGAAACTACCCATATAGTCTTTGATTCTAAGGAAGCGTTTCAAAATAAATTCCGGTCGATCGGTCGCTATTTCTCTATTTCCTAACACAATTTTGATAATGCCATTTGGATTATCAAAGACACCATCAACATTCCAACGGGTAATCAATTCAGTATTAGGTGCATTACGCCGGGACATCGCATTGGTGTATTTAGATGACATTATTGTATACTCACCAACGTTTGA